AAAAGCGTAGCTAAGTTGGTTAAAACATCAGCACGTCCGCACCGTGCCGCGGCTGAAATTCATCTGAGCGCAACAAAAACACGTGGGTCACTTCACGGGGGAGGGCGGGGTTTGTTAACTAATTCAACCAATTGCAGTGACCTAATGTGTTCCGTCTCGCTCGCACAATCGCACGTCTCTTTCTAATACGTAGATTGGCGTAGTCGATTCCTCATATCTGCGAAGTTGATTTTTTATTTTTGAAAGTTTGAGCGCTGGCGTCTACTGTATTGTATTGAAAAGTATGAACATGATTCAATTTTATATTTTAGGTTCGTAACGTGTTATAAAGTGGGTTAGAAATTTTTATCATAATATGTATGCTTTTATATGGAAAATATATATTATGAGTGTGATACATTAAAGTGTGATAGAACTCTACAATTGATTTTAAATGATATTATAGTCTTATTAGAATTATCATTTAGAAATTATGTGGGAATTTTTTAACTCATATTTTTTATTAACAAACAATAAAAGTTGATATGAGAATTGTGGTACTGGGTAGGTTGCGAAGCCTCTGCCAACCTTTGATCTTAAATCTGTCTCAACATCTCGATTTAAGCACATTATATATAAAAACATAATGAAAATCCCAAAAAATAACATCTGTGTATCTGTTTGCCTCTGAATTGGAGTAAGAGTAACAAAGGCTACATTTTCCCCGGAATATTATTTGAAACAAAATAAAATAAACCATAGACTTTCATATTATTTAATTATTTAACAAAATATACATACATATACCTTTTTAAGCCTTAGATTTAGAACCAAATTTGGTCACTATTGCTTATAACAACTTTGTTAGCTCTATATTAAGTTATAATAAATAGGTAATATAAATAAAAACTTGTATCGTATAAAGTAGACTATTGGTAGTCTTTATTTGCTGTTTACTCCATAGCCAGTGTTTAGCCTAAAGCCTACGCGGCAATACTAAATGATATATCGAGGTGACTCTACTGTAGAGCTTTGTCGACGTTTTTATGGCAGCGAAAAAATATACACAATTTGATTTTGTTCAATTATGATTGACAAACATATGGAATTTGATGTATATGGCGAGATTTTAAAGTTATAAAGTGAACTTTGTCTTACTAATATATAAACTACAATAGTGTGTTTGTTCATCTACTTCATCCACCCAGCAATCGAGTAGTAATTAATTAGGTGGAAATATCAAATAAGTTACTTTTTATCCCAGCACGTTTAGTTCTTAATAAATATTAGGTAATGCATTATCAGTGTATATCTATTATACCTATTAGTATATACCTATTATACAGGCTAAAATGAGACGAGGGTGAGTATCTCATATTTGTATTCTGCCCATTTTTTAACGTCCCACTGTTGAGCACGGGCCTCCCTTCAGTACGAGGGGGATCAGGCCACAGTCCACCACGCTGGCCAAGTGCGGGTTGGCGAACTTCACATGTCTTTTGAAAACTTGCTAGGTTCTCTCAGACATGCAGGTTTCCTCACGATGTTTTCCTTCACCGTTAAGACATATACATGTTGTAAATGATTCGCACATGAAAATATCAGAGGTGCGAGACCCGGGATTTGAACCCTCTTCACTCGGTCTCCCAAGCGAGCGCGTTACCACTGGGCTACCACTGCCTTCTCATGTTTAAAAGTTATAAATTCAAAGATAGGTAAGATATACGAGTATATAATCTATTTAATAATAAAATCTTACAGTATTTTCATTTTGATAACAAAGTAAAAATTTTAAATACTATCTATCTTCAGTAAGGTTATTCAAAAAATCGTAAAGGCCGGATGTGGACATACATATCATTTTAATTTATGTGGCTTTCTTACACCATGTTGGTCAAAGTAAACTATTATAGATGGGAGATTTAAAGGTGTAGTCTTAGTTCGAGCGGAACTCACACAATTTAACCCGGCGGGAGGCGTACCCCATAGTACAACACGAACTGTCGCTACCGGGTAAAAAATACCACAATTTAATAAATGAAAAAAAAAAACTTGGCTTTTATATGGTTATTTAAATTAAACACGCTCTTAATTGGTATTTCATTATATTTTAAACTAAATAATATAAAAACAAAGATTTTTTATAAAAACACAACCTAAAATAACTTGCATTTTACACATTGCACATGATAAACAAAAATTATACTCTAAACTTATTAAAAAGCTAAAAAAACGAAATTAAAAAGAATAAAAAAATATTTTAAATAGGTATATAAAAATCAGCTGTCACTCATGTAGTGTAGTCTAAATTCGTTAATGTAAACAATAAAAAAACCTATGAGAATGTTAATGAAACCTTCATATACCTACCTACTAACCTAATGAAAAAAAATATACGTATTATCTTTGTTTATAAAATATTTTGGACTCCTGTTATATTATTCTGTTATTAATTTTATAGATAGGCACAATTTTTACTAGGAATCCTAAAAATATTAGATAAGTAATATTTTTAAGTTAAGTTAAAGTAGGAAGTACAATTTAATAAATTTAAAACAATATCTTCAGTATAGAATATAGAATATATCTTTATTGACACAATTGTTTGTTGTTACGTAAGCCTGTTGAAGCCTCTGACTCCCAAACTAGAATAAACCTGCATGTCAGGAGTTAGCGCCCTCTTCCATCTTCAATCATATGGAGGTCAATAATATTACAGAGCATGTTTAACAGTAATAATTTTAGTATTTGTTTGTGAAAGAAGAGAATAAAAAAAAAATAAAAAAAAATCTAGAAGAATTCGGTGATGCTACAAATTATACCTACATAATTATAAATAAAAATAAACAATATAACAAATAATTTATTTACCCACATCACTTACAAAATAGTGTTACCTACATAAAAAAAAACATCCAATGTACAAATTCTTTTATTTCTTGCATGCATAGCTGTTGTAGTAACATCCAACACAAGTGCGACCGCACCTCATCGATTTGTCCCGCCACGAACACTCGCTCTACGTCCGGTCCGCAACAATACCTGTCGGCTTCATTGACTCTACTTTGTAGAGAAACCACTTGCGTACTGCCCTTCACCGCCTGTAACTGATAAAAGACTTAAAAATTCATATTTATAAAAAAAAAACTTAACGCTTTCCGTGATATATTTTATAAATACAATACAAAAATAAAACAAATATATCCCATAAATACATTATTTTTTTTTAAATAAATTTATTGGGTATTCGGGATTAATAATAATAGTAATTTTTAGGGTATATTAACGAATATAACACATCCATATAATATTTATAAATATACTAGCGGACCCGACAGACGTTGTCCTGTCTACACGTCTTTAATTTGAAAATTTCAAACTTTTTTTAATAATTTTTTTGATGAAAATTATTATTCAAATTGTAAATCTAAACCATTCCCAGATCCCCTTCAACACACACAAAAAATTTCATCAAAATCGGTCCAGTCGTTTGAGAGAAGTTCAGTGACATACACACTCACAGAAGAATTATATATATAAAGATAACAGGTTAATAGTAAAATATAAAGTTTTATAAATACATAATAATATATAACAATAAATAAATATACAATAAATAAAACGTACCATATAACAATTTTATATTCATTCAACTTTTATTTCTCAACTTAAAAATGTACAATAAAAATGCTAATACAGCCTGTTCTGATTCTGGATAGGTACCAAATTTCAATTTCGATAAATATAATGTAATTTTACGGTTAAATTATATCTCCCTGTAGTTTTATTCAAACCACCCCGAGCTTTTCTAATATAAATTAATACTTATTAATCCTATTCCAAAGGTTTTGTTATCTTTATTTTCGCAGCCATTTTTGTATGGGGAGTATGTTTTTAATTTTGGTTAGTGTCGGCCATTAAGGATTAAAGAGGGTTTAAAAATTGACTCTATTATGGTAACATTTTTTGTCTCTCCTTTGTGATGTGAAACGGATGTGGTCATACTTTTTAATTTGATGTTAGGATTTTGATAATGTCTGTTATGTTTCGGGTTTTATTTACATGTAGAGTAATATAAAGTGGTTTTGTAAATTAAAATGAGGTAAAATTTACATAATACTCAGTGTGTTAGATATAAAGAGAATATATTAATTAATATCATTCTTAATATTCAATATAATTTGAATAGTGATATAACGGACAGTTTTAAAATAAATGTTACTTGTCATTATTTTGTTACAGGAAGTTCCTATATGTACGTGAACGCCAGTGATATTAATTGGTAATGATCTACCACATAAAATTAAATTCTCACAAATTATTAGTAAAGGTGCTAAATGCCATAAAAGGCATTAACAATACGCAAAACTGCAATCTCAACCCTTAGAGCAGATGGCGAGTTAATGCTCTGGGTGTTTTATTTCCACGCATCGAGTGTCAATTAATAAAATATTTGTCACATAAATTATCACGACAAATAGATCCTTCCGGTATTTAGAAAGGACCATAAAATAAACTGCTCTATTCACTTCGGGACTTATTATTCTGTACAATAGTACGTAGCGGGGGAGCGTGGGGGGTGAGGGGGCGAGGGGGGAGCGGCACCGCAAAAACTGCACCCGACTTAATTATAAAGAGACAAGAAGCGCCATTAAATAGCGATTCGTTAAATCTACGCTCTCGTGTTAACACTACGAGTCGTCCATCCCGCTCGTTCGTATGGGCGAGAGAGAGAGACGGGTACAGTTTGTGTGCCATGTCTGCGAGGGGGCGGGGCCTCGGATATAAGGTTTAGATTGACTGGGCGTTCTCTATTCAACGTTTTTTTGTTTGCTCCGGGTTTGGAAGCTTTTCATTTGGTGTCGGTCCGCACACGCGGCCGCTAGCTCGTGGTCGGCGTCGCTCGTACAGACAGACAGTCGCGTCGTGACACTTCATATTGATATGTGCGCGTGTATTTGAATCACTAAGTGTGTATAGACTATGTTTTAAAACTTCTTATCAGTGAGTGAGCTTCGAGAATGTCGGAACTTCGTGGTTCGCCGCCTCTATCTCGGGCTTTGGAAGGTGGATTTGGGGCACCGTTAGCCGCTTTAAGTTCTTTGGCGGAGGCACCTCCTCCGGCTCCTAACCCTCACGGTATTGACCACATACTGTCTCGTCCATCAGTGGGAGCCAATATGGGTGCTGGACTGCTAACCCCGAGGCTCTCCCTGGCCGCGGCGGCAGCAGGCATGGCGCACTACCTGCAACACAAGCCTCTCTACTGGCCTGGTTTCCAAGGGTTGGTTTCAAACCCCATGGCGTGGAGGGAACGATTACAGTCAAGTAAGTGTCATTAATAGAACGATAGAGACAGAGTTAGTTGTGTGCTTATAAAAGACATCAACGAAATCAATATCACTAATTCCTAGAGCAATGTTTTCGATTTAGTTAGTTTTCTTCGACAGTTTTAGCACATTACCGTGGTTTTAGTGTGTTTTGGAAGATTAGGTTTTACTATTTAAAGCTATACCTAGGTACCTACATGTGAGAGCTGGTATTGCTTGCATTGTTTTAAACAACTATACCCTTATTTATTACTATACCCTTATTACCCTATGAACTTTATTTTTAAGAACAAACGCGCACGTCACCTTTTATATTTTATAGTTTTAATTAACAAAAAAAATATAAATAATAAAATATTTAAAAAATAAATTTCACATTATAAACTAGCGCTTTCACTTTTTATTTTCTATATTAATAATAAATAAAATTTATTTTAAGATTATAAAATTACTTGTTTCTCTATTTTCAATTACCTGTACCTACTATATATTTTTCCTCGGCTCTGCTTGTAGAGTTGTTAAAAAACTTTGACATATAGCTAAATAATAATTATTTAAGTTGGCTTATTTAATAGTTTCTTTAAAAGAACTCATTTTTAAAATGAATATGACCTAAAGATAAATTATATGTTCGCTATTTATCAGCAAACGTGTTTTAGTATATTATTATCTTTTAGAACATAATTAAATGTTAATATTCTAACAAAAGGTTAAGAAAAAAAGCTTAGAATATGTTTTATATGAAATATATGTATAAGGTCATACAATTTATCGATATAATCTCCAAACTCGTTTTCTAATAAGGAAAAAAATCATTAAATAAAAAATTGATTATAACAAAACTTATTAAGTATTAAATTTTTATTAATAATTAACATACTTAATCGTTATATAAGTAAGTAGCGTTTTATTTATATACTTAATAGTTATTAAAAATAAGCTTTCTAGATTTCATTGCATCTATAACAATTGGTTTTGTTCAATTATTTTTATCATTGTAAAGTAATATATTTTTTGGTGTAAATATGAAATGGTCTACATATTATAATTAAAAATCATTTATTTATCAAATCCTTTATATTTAGTTCTCCACTAGTATTATCTATCCATATACTATATATCTCCATATAGAAGTATTGTGGTTTCGGTCGTTACCGTCCGTCGGCCGCTCTTTAATGTGCGCACGTCGCTTCCGGTTCCGTCGGAAAGTAACCGTGGGTGATAAATATAATAGAATGTTATACTACTTTATACACTATTTAACTATTTTAAAATAAACTTATATAAAAAAAGTTCATTTTTATTTTATTTTATTTTTATTTATTACATAATTTTTTAAGTTATTTTGCTCACTTACATTATTATATGCTATAACTTATAATTCATATAATAGAACACGTTATGTTATTAATTAATTTTTTATTATTCTTTATTTAGAATATAATAGTATAAAACTAGTAATTAAATCTGTTTTGCTGTTCATTATTATTTTAAGGAAAAAACTTATATTACTGGAACTATAAAATAAAGCTACTTTGATACTCTTTATCCTACAAAATGTATGCAAAAAATCGCAACATTCCGTTCCAAATCAAACAAACATACTTTTCGTATTTGCAATATTAATGATATTTAAATATTAAAATATTTACGGTATAATCAACTCCGATCTTGATATCGCTCACGTGTCATCTGTCATTCACATCTAGTTAATATTAATTAAAAAATCAAACGAAATGATCAACGTATTTCTTTTAATTTTATTATATTCAAAGCTTATATAAAAAGCTTTCAATGAGCTTTAATTTCTTTTATAATAAAACAAATAAAATCTATTGACTAATAAAGCTATCTCGTATAATTAAAAATCTGATCTTATCACGATCATAATATAACATACTAGCGACTCACCCTCGCTCCACTCGGGTTCCTCTCTAGTTACGTTTTAACGTTTAGTATAGGTATATTTCTCAGAGATGAGATATTTTCCCGCAGTAAAAGTATCCTATATGTTGATCCAGATAACCAGCTATCATCATACCAAATTTCATCAAAATTTGTTCTGTGGTTTTCTCATGATGCGTTTCCAGACAGACAGACAGACAGACGAAAACCCTATACTATCTATAGATTCGGCCTTTGTATCGATAATAATGACTCTTTCAATAAGATTTTACAAAAAATATTTTATGTACAGATTCGACTCGGTTAGAATTTTATTATATATAGGTAAATAAGCTAGCTTTTGTTCTTAGCTTCATACGTAAAGTGTAGGTTGAAAATAGTGTAGGCGGATTTTTAATTAATGAATTAAATTTTAGAATTCTTTCTATAATAGAGAAACCAAACACACAAATTTGATTTCATTAATTGGTCATTAATATATTAAATTATGAGAAAATAGGATGTAAAAACTTTAATTTAATTAATTATGATAATTTATTATATTGATATAATGTATTCAGTGTTGCCTTTTATAGAGGACACCAGTTCCATATAGTACCTAAGTTTTTTTTAATAATGTTACCATTTAATATTTATTTATTTTTACTTTTTAACTTAATATGAAGTAACTATTTATGACATATGGACTAATATTTCATTTTTTTTACCAAGTTAAAGAGTAGCTTTTGTATCCGGCGCATAAACGTTGATTTGAAACACATTTTAATCTAAAGTTTATTTAAAAGTGCTTGGTAAAAATTGATGTTTAAAAAGGATCTATTTGAACAAAATATATTTTAATACTCAATTAAAATTATATTATTATACCTATAACATATATAAGTTATAACTTCTGGAAATACATACTAATATTATAAATGTGAAAGTGTGTTTGTTTGTTTGTCTTTCTTTCACGTCGAAACGGAGAGACGGATTGGAGTATTGTGTGGAGATAGTTGGAGGGCTGGAGAGTGACATAGGCTACTTCTTATCGTGGGAAATTATCTAATTCCTACGGGAACACACGTTATAATACAACTCAAAAAAATATATTATCAGAATTACTTGAAACTTGGTATTAATACTCTTCAATGCAATTAAATAAATACCTGTTTCAGCAAATAGGGGATTGAAAGTGTGTATGAAACCTACCCTTTTAGAGTTTTTTTTTGTAATTTCAGCGCGAGCGAAGCCGCGGGCTCTGCTAGTACGTAATATAAAAAAACACTCGGGCATATTTAACGGGTAATCGTACTAAATATTTTTGTCCTACTAGATTTACATTATTCAGGCATTCCAAGGCTAATCTTTCCAAGTTTTTTCTTTATAAACATAGAAGAAACTATAGACAATTGTAATATTTTGGCCAAGAATCCATAATTCGCTATCATTTTGATAAAAATCATAGGATGATATAATTTTGATATACAAATAGGATTGGAGAGACAATTTAATCGCCCAACTGGACTCGCGCCAACGTATACGTTGCTGTTATTAATATAATATAATACGTTTAGAACTCGCTTAGATAAATATGATGGACAAAGAGACAAAAAACATCATATTAAACGGAGATTTAAACAGCAATTTTACTTAAGCCATATGTTATAATAGAAATAATATTTGAAATGATATTTTTTATGAAAGATTGTCATGTGGCTGATTTTGATTGAATTTTTTTTTAATATTTCCTATGGGTTGGACAGTGTAAAATACCTACTAGGTACATTTTATTTACCTCAAAAGGCATGTTTTACAAACTATCTTTCATATTTAATTTACTATTTATCTTAGAATGTCTTATTGAAGCTTACTATATAGTATATACAGATACTAGCCGCTCACACTCGCTTCGCTCGGGTTCGTCGCTAGGTACGTTTTAAATAGATATAAATAGTTATTAGCTAGCGTTAGCCACAAAAAATTTTTTTTCGTAATTTTTCCCAATGTTTTAATAGTTATTCTGTTATTTGGGGCAGAGACAAATACAACAAATCAAAGGTCATAGAAATTGGTCAAACCGTTCTTGAGTTATAAGTGTTGTAACAAACTCGACTTTGTATTATATACTCGTATATAATACATATACATATAGGTCCTTAATGTTGTCTATATTGAACAGATAATATGGCACTAACTGTTAGTGTGGATAAATAAATTCCAAAATAAAACCATTTTTGAAAATGTTTTCACTTTAAAATTTACTAAATTATTACGAATAAAGATTTATTTTGAAAACAAATTGTAAATATCGAATAAACACCTGCTATGTAAATTACATTTTCGCTATAAGCATGTGCTTCATGGAAAATGGAAAAATATCGATTATCTCAAAAGTAATTGGTAGGTATTCTTTAAATTCAAAAAAAAACTATTTTTTAACGGAGTATCAAATCTATGTGATCTTATGCATACAATGAGATATAGAAAAAATACAGTAATTATGGGTCAGTGCTTGCAAAGTAATATAACTTATACCAGCATACTAAACCTCATTACGAATCGAACCTGCAAAGTCCTCCTCAATAAGCTATCCCGAAACAAGCCACTACTGCGCCAAACGTAAAAGATTTTCTAATTAATATCCATTGATTGATATCTATACGGGTTATCTGAATATTACAATATTACAGCCGTAATGCGTGTAATCTTTCGTAATCTCCCACTTGAGATAGCTTCACGCTAATTGCGACGCGGAATAATATAGTTTTATCAGTTAGCAATTGTATGGTCGAAGCGTGGAACAGGTGTTGTGTGTGTTTGTTTGTTTTCATGATAAAAGCTTTTATATTTATTGATTTTAAATGCACTATATGTCTATTTACACCCATCTGTTCTAAAATAATGCTGTTTATAAATAAACAAATAATTTCTTTTTTTTTAAATATGGTCATATTTACGACTTCTTATTATTTATTAATTTGTAGTAATTTTTATAAAAAAATATAGGTATGTATGTGTACCTTAATCTGACTATATTACCTATATCTTGCTAAATTACCTACCTAATACCACGATAATGTAATATGTAATATTACCGTGCTAATACTTAGT